CTTTAAGCAAACACATAGAATATGTAGTCGCTCTCACAGCTGTGTGGGAGAATCAATGAGAGCCACTACCCCCTCCCTCCAAAAAAGTTTTGGTAGCTTCTTGCACTCAAAGCAAGTAGACTTTTAAGTCCAATTCTTCTCCCTTTCCCTCTGTTTTTAGTTCAGAATAAAGTGGCTTTTCTCTATTAGATGAATTTGTCATGAGAAGGCATCAATCAAGTAAAGGATGACAATGGGTTCCCCTTTTTTACAATACAATAGAAGAGCTCTACTATCACTTTTTCAAAGTATTCAAATACATAAAACTTGTCCTCGATGTGATTATTTCGATTTTGACTTGGGATAATCATTATTGATGATGTTTTCTTTATTCTTTTTCCTTTTTTTCTTAGAGAGGGCAATTTTTGTAGGCTTTGAACCTGTAACTTGGGGATGATCTTGATCACTAACCTGTGGTTATCAGCCCCTAGAACAGAGTGTGGGGATCATTTCTGATGTTCTTCTTATGTTTTGAAGGATTAATAATTAAACTTAATTATAAGGAAAACCACCTCATCAAAAGGACCCTTTCAATTTATTTCACCCATATAATTAATTTTATCAAAATGGACAATCAGAAAGTACCAAATCCCCACCTCAAAAGCTTTGTTTGAAAGTATATGGCTCAATATTTGCTTTCAACTTTTTGGGGTTTCGGAATCCTTAGAGTATTACTTACAATAGAAAATCCCACCTAGAAGAAGCCATGGAAAAGCTACTTTTCCTCCACTAATTCGTGTGGAAATTTTGTAGCACTAATCCTTTTAAACTTTACACACAAGCATTCAACTTTTTAGGAAGAAATCAAAAGAAAGTGCTTTTTAAGAATGGGTTACACTTTTGCTACATATGTGAAAGGAAAATATGTCTACGTGAGACACTTGAACCCTACATCAATTGCACCGAAGCTTTGATGGGGTTTAATTGACTAATTGAGCCATAAAGATAGCTTTTAAAATGTGTTTTTAAAAGTTGAGACAAATTTTTCAGATACCCAGCTTTCAAAAGGGACCTACATTCAGTAATTGAGTTGGTGATAATTAAAGGATAAACAAATTGATTAACCGAAATATATCTGCTTGGCACCTAATTAATGATCTACTAATTAATTAAATTAAATAATGGTAAGATCAAAGATGCATATTCCTCATTCACAAGGTCATCATAAAACGTGTTGAAGTTGGCTTAAGTGGCAAGGAGTGATACGAAAAATGTTGGAAACATAAGTTTGAATTTCTCTATTTTTATAAGTTAATAATTTTTTCTAATATCTGTAAATAAGGTGGTTTATAAGTATTTTTGAGATTAATTCAATTAAAGATCAAATACCCATATCATAATTAAGGAGACCATAATCAGATGAGTTTTGAATCACCTCAACCCCAATATAAAAGAAAGGGTACCATAAAAAAAAAGTCTGCTGTAGTCCTAACATAAAAATTACCTTTCGGAATATATACATAACAGGACCTTTCGGTGTGAATTCCATGAAAATCACCAAGAATTTGAAAAAGGAACATTTGATTTTTTTCATGATATTGATTTTAGTTTTGGCCCCACTTGAAGCCTTTTCTTCATTAAGTACTATTTGATTTCGAATTTTTAAGAGTTTTGATGAATTGGGATTTCTACTCTTAATTTCAAAACTTGAATGCTAGGGGGTACCTGATTGAGTATAACAAAAAGTATTTTTCATGTTGGCTTGTAAGATAAAAATAGAAAAATATTTATAAAATTATTTAAATATTTTTAAGATGTATTCTTTTTTTTTTTTGAACATGCATTTTTAAGATGTATTCTATTAAGTATATATATTAAAAAGGGTATTTTATGTTAACTTAAAAAAAATGTATATGTTGGTAAAATTATTTAAATATTTTTAAAAGGTATTTATTAAGTATACAACAAAAAGTGTATTTCACGTTGACTTAAAAAAAATATAGAGATATTTATAAAATTACTTAAATACTCTTAATAAATCTTCTTTAATATATTTAATTAATTCTATAGAAATTACTGCACTTTTTTTTCTTGCAGGTTTATGAGTTAGTGGTAACAATATTGTGTGAGACATGAAAATTACAAATAAACCAGAAAAATCGACATAAACGTACACGAGAGGGGAGTCAAACATTGGCCTTAATATCTAGGGTCACAGGCTTTCCACTATGCCATGATTAAGCCTCATTGGCAATGTCAACAATATTCTTGGTTTGGACAGATAGTTGTCCTCGAGTAGCTTCTATCTATTTTGAAATTAAATTTTTTTAAAAATATCTTTATATTAACTTAATTCTTTTAAAAATTAAATTTAAAACTTGAACCATACACTTACCATAAACCTAATATATAAAAGGACAATTGTTTGCCGATCTATCTAACCTCGGGCAATCGAGTCGGCAAAGTCAACAATAAGATTATGTACAGCCCCTAAAAATACACAAGGACCTACACATTAATTAAAAATGTGTATTGAATTTCGATTTGAGCACAACCCACTTTCAACTACAATCATGCATGCCCAATTGGTTCATTTGCCTTCCTTCCCTGACATTCAACATCAAATCAAACTACTAGGTAAGTAGATTAAATGCCCGAAGGGAACATTAAGAAACATATGGTGGCTCACATAATCACATTCCAATTTCTATATATATATATATATATATATATATAAAAAATGCTTCCCAACTCTTAAAATAAATTAGAGTTTAATATTAAATTATGTCATTTTATTTAATTAAAATTTAATTTAAAATTTAAAAATTCATCATATTAAATATTGATATTTAAATTTAAAATTGATTGTATTAGAATATATAATTAATTTTTAAATTTAGGTATCAACATTCAATAACGTAAATTTTTGAATTTTGAATGAAGATTTTAATTTCTAAATGTAGATTAAAACTTCAATTTTTTTAAGAATCGAAACTGATGTACATTAATTTTATATGGACGATGATATAGAAATAACTTTTTTGTATCATCTTTTTATACAACTTATATATGTTATTAAATAAATTGATTTATTAAATAAATTGATACATTCAATATCACGGATCTCAAATGAATAAAAAGAATTAATCATTTAAATGACACATAAAGTTATATAGAAAAATAGTATAAAAAAATTGTCCAAAAATATTGTGCCTAAATCATTTTCCAGCCTTATATATATATATATAAGTATGTGATTAGAACCAAATTATAGATTCAAAGGGTTTTCCCTCCTTTCTGTTTTTGTTCTTTCTGTTTCACTAGTGTTGACTATTGCATTTAATTGAGTCATTTCCAGACGAATAAAACTCGAGTTAACCAAACGCAATTAGCTAAATTTACATTTTAAATTCAGCAAAGTAAAGTTGACAACCTAAGTGCAATTCATTGGTAATACTTTTTTCAATAAAAGTTTAAGAAGTTTTGAATTCAAGTAATAGGTATGTGGGCAGAAATGCAAGGTAAGTAAAACAACAAAAAAGTGTTGTGTCATATTGTGCAACTTAAAATTTAAAATAATAATAATAATAATCACCAAAACAAACAATAGACAGAACTAGAGGGATTTGTTTTTAATTACCAGTCATGTTCTAAGATTAATGTTAGTCAACAAAATGGTTAAGAAAATACAAACCTTAATTATATACGAACACTTAAGGGAATTAATTAACCACAAGGCTTTAACTAACCCAGGTTTTCGAACGCAATAGACCCCTAGATTATGGCTATAATTTAATTAAAGTTAATCAAATGTCGACCCTTTTTAGGGGAAAAAAAATCTTAATACGTAGAATCAAGCAAGTGAAGAGTAGAGTGGTGGGAGACAAAGAAATCTTTAGTGTGAAGGATCTGAAGAAAAAAAGGCACCAGAAAAAGGCTGAGAGTTCGCTTGTGTTGGTTTACATGTCGAAGGGAATAATGTAAAGTCAGTTTGTTGTGTTTGGTTGGAGTGTCACCTTCTTTGTGTGTTGTCCTAAAAGAATCCAAACCTTTCCACAGATTCATGTTAATCAATCACCATGTGATTACTTGTAAGTTAATGTAATTAAATAGTTATTAATAGTATCAACAACTTGTTGGTTTGAATGAAAAAAATTTAATTATTCTTAAATAAAGTTTCAAGTTCAAGTTTTATAAATGAGTAACATGAGTTATAAGAGTTTCTCTCCTTTTAGAATTTGATATGGTTCAATTTCAAATTAATTAAAATTCAATGTGATTACCAAATATCAGGAAGTGTTTTGACAAGGGTAACAAGAAGTAATTTTCGCCATCTAATGTTTCTTCATTTGCCCCAATTGATCAAGTTGTTGGTGTACTTAATTGCACCAAAAAAATATATTGTCCTTAATTATATTTTTAAAAAGAATTAGTATCTTTATTTGTACATTTGATCTAAATATTATTATTATGTCTTTGTTGTTATTGTCCCAATATAAGGTTGAAGTGTAGTTATAACCATTGATAAAGGGACCAAGGTTGAAGTGTAATCGTAACCATCGATAGAAGACAGACTCTCCTAATATTAGTGAATTATCTCCTTATTAATAATTAAATATGTGTGGTTTGTATAAAACAAACTATATTACAATATTCTTTTGTTATAAAACGATTTTTTAATAAAACTTAGAACTTAGTGGAAAAAATTTTGCTAGTATTTAGTTTAGTATTTGGAAAATCCAATTTAAAGAATGAAAAGTCTAATTAAAGTTGGTCAGAGTGTAAAAGTAGCGGAATCTACAGAACCTTTCTAACTTTATACACCTGCCTGAGACTTCCAAAAAGCAAGAAGCAAAGACTGGGCAGCACAGGACCAGCCACAGAGGAACAAATTCTTACAGTTACAGCCTCATGGAACTGGACAAGTAGGAAGGCAAAATGACCAAAAATCCACTACCTAGATTTTATGTTTGCTTCTTCGCAAAAGACGTTGCAAACAGGCGCCCATAAACTGTAACCACCACAGGAAAGGCTGACTCCCAAACCCAGAAACTTTTTGTGTCTGAAAGCATGGCACTTAGGTCGAAGGCAACACCTTTTGAACAACTTTTTACACAGCTCCAAAGTACTGTTGTGAGCATTGCATTGTACTGAGGTGTGTATTTTTACTTTCTTTTAGCTTTGTGGCAGAAATGGTTACGAAGGTTAAAGTACTTCTTGTATACTTTGTAATAAATTTTGGTTTATTGAGCAAATTAAATTGTTAAGGCTATCAAATTTGACCCTTCATTTGAATTTACAGGTTTTTTCACCTGATTTCATAATAGTTTTGTCCTTAACAATTTACTAGTTTGTGGCTATAACCATTCCCTTGGTTGTGGGTTGGCGTAATGCTGGACCATGGAAATCAACTCTAATTTTTTAGTACGCATTAAATGTTTGAGGAAATGCCCAGAAGAAAGGGAAGAAGTGACCCCATTTAATGCAAAAAGTAAGGTGGGGTTTTGCCCAGCAATTACATGCATCTCTTCCGGGATCGCCGCCGGACTTTGGTCGGCTCCAATTCTTGTTTTCATCACAGAAAAATGGCCCTCCAGCCAGCAGTCCGCCACTTTTACCTCTTTTCACTTCCTACTATGTGCGTCGCATGTAAACTCACATAATCAATCCATTAAATATTATTTCAGTCTGCTTTTTTTTCTATTTTTTTTTACATGGGAAATATTGGTGAAAGTCAAATTACCGACTAACTAAATTCAAGTATTGAAAGTTGCTCTGGGCCTAAACTTTTAAGCCTCTTAATGATAATCTATTTTGAAAATATGTTTGGCATAATTTCAACTTTGAATTAGAAAACTTATTGTAGAGACTGGAAGGAACAAGAAGCATCACATTTTCTTTTCCTCGTTCTCCTGCATATAAATGAGAAAAACATGGGCAGCAGAAAAATGTTGGCCAATTTGTCCTGTCTCACAATTCTTTGTTGGCAACAAACTTATCATTATTATTTTTTAATTATTGGGCTGGGAGTTGAAGGCAGCATATTTTAGAAATTATTCAATTGATTGGTAGAGTCATGAATTTTGTCAGGTTGAAATATTTTATAAATTGCCATTCCATCAGCCATAATTCCAAGAAAAACATGCAGCTGAAATGTCTATTTCAATCCCATTAGACATCTTTTGTATCCTAGTGTTGTGTATGAGTACTTGCAATTGAAGGATCCTATGCCTGCTCCGTTATGCAAAGTGCAAACTTTTCATTTTTCTTTTATCGAACATATGTTCCAATTTGTCAATTCTGTCTCTTTTTTGGGTTTGGATGGTCCAGGTTTTCTCGAACTAATTTTCATGCACCTCTAAACTAATCCGACTTGAAAGAAGCCCAACTAGAACTTTAAAGGATGAGCCTCAAGTAGTTGTCAAGGACCAGGTCAAAAACAGAAAAATGAGAAGAAAAGACTTGACATTGCTATTCCAGATAATAAGAAGCTTAGAGTCATCCTTTGCATTGATCCATGCATGTGACCTTTGTTCCCGTTTCTGGAAAAAGAGGAGATATATTGGGCTCACAATAATAAAGGTAAACAGTTTTGAGGGAAAATATCATAGAAAAAAGGAGAAGAAATTTCACAATGTGAAAACAACAGAAGAGACAACTTCACTATCTCTTCCCTGGCTGTGCTGTAATATTTGCTTTTGGACAAAATGCAGAAGAATATATAAAACAAGAAGTCACATCCTTTTTTGGGTTCATCCATTTTGGTCCAGCTTCTTTGTAACACTTGGATTCTCATCCCTTTTATGTCCTTTTTGGTTGATTGCAGAAAGGCATCCACATGCGCTGCTTCTCTTTGGCTGTTGAGAGCCGCTAAGCTAAAAGTAATACACATCAGGTATCGTATCAATTTCGTTGAAGGACAACATGCAGCAGAAAGAAATTCCTGCAGAGGTTAAATCTACAATCCAGAAGAAGATTCCAGTAATTTCCAGGACACAGAACTGGGAAAAATAATCAAGTCCACATTATCATCCTGCCCAAAAATGGAGTATAACTTCATTGAATATAGCTAAACAAAATAACGTATTTGCAGACGTGCACTGTACAAATTGTAAATATTAAAACAAATGAGTGGACCACAAATTATGCTTGGTTCATGATATGGCTTCCATGGATCTTAAGTGAAAGTAGAGCTTTTAATTAGTAGAAACAAGGCGGTAATAGCTAAAACCTTGGGAGGAGAGAATTATAGTTACTACCACCTTCTCGTTCCCTATTAATCATAAAGGAAATTAAGTAATGATCTAACTGTATCCTGCACTCCCTCTAATTTTCTTTGCCATGAAATAGCCATTCCAGGAACCAAACATGATCTAACGATGCAGGGAAATAATCATTCATTTAACAAAACGTGGAATTATTTCTAAAAAAACAGTGGGAACCATCCATACATACCAGCACGCATTATTTTCATGCCTATTATTTGGAGTTTTGGATGAACTAAATATCATGTTTCAGTATGGTACAATAATTACAGCATATAATAAGTTGGCCTCCAAAACACTGATTAAGAAGAATATACCTTCTATATTTCATGCCTAACTGATGGAAAACACAAATCACCATATCAATTTGGTTGAAGGACAACATGCTGCAAAAAGAAATCTCAGTAAAAGTTAAGTGTAATGAATTGAATGGCAAAAGTAAAGGAGGGAAAGAAAAAGATAATTTATTTTTCCCATCAGAAACAGAGTTATCACCTTGATCTGTGTCCGGTTATAAGTGTAAGTGATGTGAACAGATCCATCACTACTCTCGATAACAGCTGGATAGGAGAATTCCATCTCCTCTCCATCTTCCAATGTCAGTACTTCATGCCATGAATCACCATCATCAGTAGACAGGGCAACTTTAAGCACACCCCTTGAGATTGTGTTGTAGACAAGTAACAGAAGGCCATTGCTCAGCTTAACACCATCAATACCTATATTATGAAATTTGTTATTCAAAATTTAAGCAAGCAGGGTATGGGTGAATGTCCCTAAGTTGCAATGGCTTATTTAGAATCAAGAATAAAGGTAATTGGGGCATACATGGGTTCCAAGAATGGATCTGTATCTCTCAGTTTTCTATAACATAATTTTCAAAATAAAGAACAGAGTTACATTATCAAAATATTCTATAGTATACTTCATCACCAAATTAATAATTAAACTTGAAATATCATTTTTTTTTTTTGGATAACCATACAATCAGAAGTGGGCAATTTTAGGTGAAGATGGATCCAATTTCAATTGAGTCTCAATATACCATTTCTCATCATTCAAGAAGCAGAAATCAGCCACCAACCTGAGTTTGGGTTGGGGAGTTCAGTAGGTTTTGCATAATCCCAGTTCTGGCCTCCATCATGGGATTCTGACATGCAGACTTTATCAATGCCAGAAAAAGATCTCATTAAAAAGCGCAACGTTCCCTTTGCAGTTACAAAAGGGACGGGTTGGATCACACTAAGACTTTCATTTTTAAGATAAATCGGGCCATACTTCTTCCAGGTCCTACCACAATCTGCAGTGACCTGTTCCATGTCAATGATAGAACATGTGAGTGTATTTTAGAAAATTACTCGATCTAAAATTATATGTGCAGTTAAAAACATGACAATAACCTCAGCCCATGCTCCCCAAGAGTTCCAACTCTCTACAGAGGATCCACACAGCAAATGGCCATTTTTCAGCAAAATAGGCTGCAAAGAAGCAAATGGACTATGAAGAAGATGCATATTAGCAAAATTTCCCAACTCACAACATAACGAGTACAATCATAATAATGTTTTTTAGGGACATTGGAACTGTGAGACAAACTCAGCTATATGCAATTACTCATTACCTTGTTCTTTGACGGTCCTATTATCCCAGGAGGAAGTTGTTCTCTTTCTGTCCAAGTTAGGCCTCTATCATATGATCGCTTCATGCACCCACTCCACCTGGATTTTACCAAGCCAGCAGTGAGCAAAGGGAAGAAACTTACACTCTCAGAATGATATGCCAAAGAGAACACTGACAGTGTAATGATATCCAGTTACAATTCTAAATAAGAATCAAAATAGAATGTTTAAGGTTAACTTTTATTCACATCTCGGGTCAACCATCTGGAAAATGAATGACTAAGCAATGTCTCAAGAATAATTAGGCCATAAGTGCTCTTATTTAAATGTTTCAAGGATTTTTGGCACTTTCAAAACTCCTAGCTAGTTCAGTTTGGCTCTAAATCAGATTTATAATATTGCATAATCCGAATTTGATATCTTTCATAACAAAGATATCAAACATGATAACTTATTCAATACTTGAAATAAAGTTATCCAACTAATAAAAGGTTGGTTCTTGCTCCCTTGTCTCTACCTATTTGGCTGGTTTTTGAAGATTCTAGTATGCATATGCAAAATGTAATTCTTAATCCATCTGGTGAAAAATCTAACAACTTAACAAAAAGAGTGAACTTTGATGCACTTTCCCTTTACCTTTGAAAATCCTGGCCTATTTTATAGAATAACAGCAACTCATGAGAGGGAAGTTTAAATAGTACAGGGTTCCACATTGGAACATCAGGTTGTTCATCAGCAACAACAGGTTGGTGCCAGTAGCCATCCTGCCAAGCAGGTTATCATTCATACATGATAAAGAAGATTCTTTTAAAACAAAATGAATATCATACTAAAAAATATCCTTGCAAATATATTTACCACATATAAATGGAGGAAAGAACCAAAGAATGAGCTCAGCAAAAATGGAAAAGTTGGGAGCATATTTTTGTGGTACTTTTGAAGACAGCCCTCCCCTTTCCTAAACTCTTTCCACCTGTCCCATGGTTCAAACCTGAGAGACCTCCAACATGGAGGCTCAACATTGGGACTACCCCTAGACAAAGGTAGGAAGCATATAACACGCACATGTTTTCATGTTCGTAGGAACATGGCCGGTATACATATAACAAAATTATATTAAAATTATTGAGGAACCAAGACACGAGCATAGGCAAAAAGTGATGAAGGAGAAAGGAAATGGGGAGGGGAAGGAAACAGGATGAAACATTTTCATCTTTGTCCACTTGGCCATGGATACATACTGTTTCAACTTTCAAACACTAGATTAACCTTCCAATCTTTGAGAGTTGAGTTACAAAGTGCAAAATTTAAACTTGCTACAAGTTCATTAGAAATGTTATTGAATAGCAGATCTTCACAGGAGGCACATGCCACAACGCCAACAAAGAGTGCAGTTATGAAAACAAGCAGAAAATTAAGCACAGCAGCAGCTGGAAATGATTCATAACATTTACTAGAAAATCTTAAAGAAACAATATACTGGGGGCAATTAATCTAAAGAAAAGAGAATTGAGTGCAAAAAAAATTTTCAAGTTTGTCATAACTAAATAAGATAATAACCTTGTATGTCTGCAACCAAATTTTGACATCTTGTGCTCCTTCAGATGTTCCTCCAAAGTAAGCAACCAGAAGGTGACCTTTATCAACCTGCTTAATAATCCAGTTAACTTGAGTCCTCTAAGGAACACTAAATGGAAACTTAGTTGAACTGCTTATTACTTTACCTCCACGATGGTAGAGGCATGACAACTGTTGAACGGAGCAGAACCAGCTAGAAATGTAAGTTCCTCTATTACCGGCCCCCGGAGGCAACAATCTTTCTTCAGTGTTAAACTTTGAGGTCCTGAAGATGTAATTTTCACATATACTCTAACTACTTCTCTGCAGTTTTTGCCAGCTTTACTTTAGAACTTTTGGGTTTATGAAATAGATAGTACAAACAGGCATGCCGACCCACAAAAATATGTATGAGAGAATGACTACAACAATCTGTGTCCAAATTAATCTTTTTTTATCAGGAAATGTTACAGTACTTCAGCTGCAGCAAGTTATAATCTTTTTAGCAACTAAGCTCCTCCCCATTATAGTCAATTAACATTAGAAACTAAGCTCCTCCCCCAACCCCCCAAAAAGAAGGATGCTTTCGCCCATCGATCATATCATAATATATACAAAATTACAAATGAAACATCAGAAAAGGGAACAAATTACCTTACAAAATGTTGATAATTAAGGTTAAACAAGGAGTGGGCAAGCAGAGGGACACTGTGATTCGAAATACTATGGTAGGAACTGAAGATGGGTGCAGATCCAGAAGATGAGTTATGCAAGACATAGAAACCGGAGGGTGGAAACAACAAAATTAGTAGCAGAGACAAAGACAGCAAAATCAGCAACAAAATGATTCCTACTGATTTCAACATTTCTGGTGAGTATCTTCAAAAGGGTTTCCAATTCGAAGGCAAAATCAATGTTTAACAATTAAGGAAAAAGGGGGAAAAATGACTGATGCAGAATTTGCAGAATAGCATTTAAATTAATGCAGTACCTACTAGATTGAAGCAGTACCTACTAGTCTACTACCGACCAGCTTAGACAACCTGAGACAGAGAGAGTTTTGACCAAAATAGAGAAGACAAAAGGAAATTGTTAGTGCTTCCGATTTCGGAGTTTGACACAAAGGCTGCCGCCGGTTTAGTTTTACGGCACTTTTAACCGGTAAAGGGAAGGCATCAAATAAGGTGAATACTAAACGTTTCTACTGTTTTGCAGTTCAGTAAGATAAGACCCTGAATTTACGGTTTAAATCATCAAATAATAACATCCTGAATGTGAATGTAAAGAGTTTTAAGTAATTTAATGATTTTTTTTTATTAAAAATAAAAATTTTAAATTTGAATCATGTATAATATAAGATTAGATGAGATAAGAGATAAAAATTAATTTTTTTTATATCTGTAATATCAAAATAAAAAATATAAGACATGGAGAGGACCAAAAGCACGGCCGTGTGGAGAACGCCACTACCAATATTAAAGCCTGCTTCTCATTCATGGATATATACATTTTATATTTTAGTATAGAATTAGTGTTTATTTGTTTTTATTTTTTTAATTTATAAAAAAATTATTTTAAAAATATATTATTTTAATAAAATATTATAAAAAAATAAAAAATACCTTAATTTATGTTTTAAAAATAAATCATTTTAATTTTTTAATAAAATTTTATTTAAATAATATAACTTTTAAATAATTTTTCTCTAAATTTGAAGAGATAAGGCTAGTATAATCTAAATTACCAAAACAATTTCTTAATTCTGCTAAATATCGAATTTCGTTCTTGAGTTTTACGTTGGGATTTCAATTGGATACTAAAAATTGGGCCCAAGTCCAAGCTCACATCTGGGCCTTAATTTGAGCATCTGGCATTCTCCTGAAGACATGATTTTACCACCTGATTTTGGGAAGAAATGGACTGCAATGTTATCTGAGATCCTAAATGGGTATCATAAGAATAGTGATGGTTAACATGAATTTTTAGACCTAAATTTTATGATGAATTTATGGTAGTCATTGACTATAATGTAGGTCTCATGCGAACTTACATGCTTATTGATTAAAATAATTTCCTTTTAAAATTTTGGTTGTGAGAATAACCATTCTTATCAGAAACGTTGCAACTAATGGAGGTGGAATGGCAAATTTCAATGACCATTTTGTTTTGGGAAATGTACATAATTTTTGTGTGATATTGTTGGTGAGTGACAATGTCAAGTGGTTTTTGAATTGACGTTTCTTTTGTCTCGAGCTATCACTTTGTCTACGTGCTCCACTATGCACGCCTTAGTGGAAAGTAATTGCAAGGGGAAATGCTTGTCTGCTGGGTTGCTTATATTGTTTTCTTCTATCCATGAAGTTAAAACAGAAGAAGGAATGCAAAAATGTGATAATTGTTGTAAAGTAAAGAAAACAAATAGAAGAAGGCTATATTTGATACAAGGAAGTTCTTTTAGACTCTAAAGGCTCCAACAAACATTAAATATTATAATTTGTAAAAAATACTATAATTTTTTATAAGTTAGTATTTTGTTTGTTTCATTATAAATTTTAAAAACAGCAAATGCATGAGTTTTTCATTTAAGTTTTAATGAAATTAATACATTATTTCTATTTTATTATTATTTTTTCTATTTATAAAAACAACACTTTTATAACAATTTTTTTCTAATCGAATTTTTATTAAAAATTAGTCATACCAAATGAGCACGGAGTGTGAAGTAAAAAGACAAAAGGGAAGCACAGAGACTGAAGGGTTTGTTATTAATTCTTCTTCTTTCTTTCATAGCATTCTTGTATGATAACAAGCCTTATATATAAAAGAGTAAAGTGATAGAAGTTATAAAAATTACAAGTGTTAATCACTACTAAATCATGAGTTACATAAACTAAATCACCTACTAAATCATTAGGAAAGAAGTTATATTGTAATCGTATAGAGATAATAAAAATTAGATTTATTTGTTTTGTAAAAACCACAAAAAGTGAAAATAGAAAAGATAAGAAATGTGATACATCCATAAACCAATTGATTCACAATAATTATTGATTGGAAAAGATGATCACACATTTAGGGCCTCC